GGAGCAGAGAGGTAAACTTCTTCTCACGGCGAGCAGAACGAGTTAATCAATCAATTTTCTGTTTCTTTTCATAAGAAGGATAGCAACATGGACCTCGTTGCTAGCACTTGTTGAATGCCCAGAAAGGTATCCATCAAGTCCTTTTTGCATCTTTAAGAGTCATTTAAGATACGTTCATATTTAAGGAAGAGGTATGCCGTGAGATAGGCCGGTTCTATAAATAATCGAAATCGATTATTGAAATTATTCGCCCCATTCAATGAATCCGAAGGGGGTTTCTACGAATTATTATGGTTGATTTTCATCGTTGATTATTCGAGTTGCTAGCTTTCAGCGATAATTCCTCCGGTAAAAATGGTTATGGCATCCCCCTGCTGTGATTATAGACTATTCACCGCAAGAGTTGACCAAAGTTGCGCTATCTTATCACCTCCTTAAAATATTCCTCACTTCGAAAGGGGCTTTTTGTGCTTTAGCAGCCAGGAAAAGGCGAAAACGGGAGCAAACAGTTTGAGTGTCGCAGCGCAAGCTTGCCTTCAAAGCCAATATCATAATACCTCATCGTAAAGTGTCTACTTTCGAAATCGTAAATAAGTTCTAACGAGCCGATTGGGACCCATAAAGGCAGCCCTACTGAATTATTATTATTTTTATTATCATCATCATCGTCAACTTCTGCTGGCACTTGGGTTGTCGCACAATTTGGGCTAGGGGATTTCCTTATGTATGAGGAATGACGCCTTCAGAGATTATTTTTCGCCGGAAAGCAAACCGTGCATTGCTTTCCCTTTGCATTGAGTTATTAGTTTTGTTTGTCATGAACTTGAAATAGACTTTAAATATTTTCTTAGAAAAGATGTGGCTCTAAATATCATAAAAACTACTTTATGATTGTATGACAAAATCTCCACAAATTTCCTTTGATCTTTTAACAGAAAGTGTTCGAATACAAACTAATCCACCCATTCCCATACTATTAGCTGCTGAATGCTTAAATTTGCAACAACACAAACACGATCAAATCATTTTCGTCTTTCTTTATCCCACAGCTGGCCCGAGGAAAGAGGTATTATACCGTTAAGAAATTATTAAATTCTGCTACAAGAAATGAAACGGGCGCACAGTGGGACGAAATCAAAAAAGAGGGAAATGGCCATTTGCGCGAAAAAATTGAGTGTCGCATTTTGATGTCTTCTAGAAAGTTTCTTCAATTTTTAAATACTTTATTGTACTGGTAAATTTTTTTGCTTTAGGGGTACAGATAGCGTTGAAAATATAAAAATGGACTAAAATCCTTAAAACAAAGAGATGATATGCTTCATGGAGCAAAAATGTGCATTTTAAGAGCACTTACAACTTTGTAGAACATTTAAAAATTTAAAAATTCAAACTAATAAGTTATGGTAAAAAAAAAATGTTTTTAAGGGGGTACTAGCGTTAGTACTACATTTTCATCTATAACTTCGTCCACTTGAGGGATGGAAAATTGACGTCTTGGACAAAGTCCTTAAGATGACTTCATCTACAATGTTTCAATAGATGATCATCAATTTAAGCAAGACTTAAAAAAGTTATTTTTTAAAAATGTTCACCTTTCAATTAAAGTACCGTAAAACGGGGTATCTTTGATAATGCGAGTAGTTTTGATAGTATAATATAAAGATTAAATTTACTCGCTGCGCTTTTTCCAAATTAGAAACATTGGTTCCATATTGTAGTTTAGGGTATTTGCGTTGATATCGTATATCGTTCTTATAAAGTATGTGTTACATATTTTACAAACATATTAAAAAACAATTTTCGTGTTCTTCGCCTGCTTGAAAAAGCACTCAAACCATCACTTATGAAATGTATTTCCGATATAGCCACCACAAATTCAATGTTGTATTCTTATTGCTCCTGATGTTTTCTGATTATATACTTATTCAAAGTTCCAAATTTAAGAACTCAATTGTTTGAGTTTCACTCTTTTTTTTTCTACATTCATCGAGCATTATCAAAGTAACCCCAAATAAAAATACTGAAGTTCGGTCGGAAAACTAAAAAAATAGTTAAACATATTAGTAACGGATTAACGCGTGTATCCTCAGTACTTGTTTTTAAAATATGAACTTTGAAAAAAATATTCATTGCTGTAAAAAATATTTAGAATATATTTAAAAAAAACTTCAAGGGCAACCCTATGGGGTTGTACGCAATGGTGACGTAGGACTACGTTGTCTTATATAATAAATTATCTTTGTTAACTGCAGCAAGAGCTTGTGTTTTGTGTAGTAATAGCAATTTGAGCGAGGTTCATTCTGTTTATACTCTTTAGTATAACAGGCGTGACATAGATGGCCCACAGCAACTCACGAAGAGCTACTGATTCTGAACAATAGGTGTGGGGCTTATGTCTCCTTCTATAAGTCTGTGTTAGGGAAATCGCTTTTCGCAGGCAATCGATGATAATTTTAATTATCAAAGCAAAAGTTGCACATTCGTGCAATTTTCAATAGTGACATTTTGAAAAATGATAAGGTCTTGAATTTAACGGATGCGTAGAAATATTTCTGATCGATAAAATTAAGTGATAAAGTTAAGTGAGAGATAAAATTATTGAAATTGGTCCAGGGGCATCTGAGTTATAAATGTTCAAAATCTTTCATAATTTTGTTACATGTTCCATTTTTTTTTTGTTTTTCACAATGTGTACCTCCATATAGAAATCACAGACGTAGTTCTATGTCAATACTATCAATGCAACCCCGTTTTACGGTACCCAAAAAATGAAGAAACATTCTAAGAGACATAAAAATGCTGCACTCAATATTCTCGTCGCAAATAGCCATGTCTCACTATTTTTAATGTTGTCCCACTGTGCAGCGGCACGCGTCCGTGCGAAAGGATTAAGTAAACAGTGCGCGATCCTTCTATTAAAAATACCTTTTCCACGCTCCCACCGCCGCCGTCTATGGTCTAAGCATCCCTCTTCAGCCGCCTTTTTCTTCACCGTTTGGTCTATAGAGTGTGTCCGGTTTTGTTCGCTATAAGCGCCTAAGCACTACCTACAAAGGAAAATCTGTAACGAGCCGAGAGGGTCGCTTTCAAGAGGATCGCACCACGAAAATGGAAATGCTATTTTCTGGGAAAAATTTTCTAATTAAATAGAAGTGGGCCGGGGTCGTTTGCTGCGGATAAACATTTGAAATTAATTTCGGTCCAGTTGCTGGATTTAGTCGAAGTTAGACAATATTCCACAACCATGGTATTAGAGATATCCAGCGGGAGCAGAATGGCGACTGGAAAGAACCGTAATCTATTTCTCCTGCTTGATTCATTTTTCTCGTAGAAGTGAAAAAATAAACATGCGAAGTACTGGGAAAATTGATGAGATGTAAATTAATTTACTAGATTAGGTTGAAATGAATGATTTTTATGCAGAATTTTTTTTAAGAACCGATCTAGCGAATCTGTTTCAGACCGGTAGATTTATTTTCTTTTTGAATAAATTTATTCAAATTCCACCACTTTGTAAAAAAATAAATAATTCCTTTTTCTTTACCTTCTTCCTTTTTGGCTTTACAGCGTCTCCACTGGGACTTGCGGCAGCTCTCAACTAAATGTTCTTTGAGCGCTCCCACAGTTGCTAATTGAGAGCCTGTACCATGTTTGAATTATATAGTAGTGGTTAAATCTTATTTTCGGCAGACTAAGCACAACCCGAACTTTACCTCTCTTTATCGGATTTTTATATTAAATGAAATGTTTCTACTACAGATGACTTCTAGATTTTATTGCTTTTCCATATGTACCGATGGATTCTATAAAAGTCAATAATTGTTTATAAGTTATGAAACATACAGCATGATTCCAAATTTATTCCTTTTTTGTAGGCTTCTGTAGCGATGTTTTTCCAGCTCTCAATTTAATATTCTAGGTGCAATCCCATAATTATTTATTGAGAGCTTTGGTGAACCAGCCCCTGGCTGAAAATCATACAAATAAAGAGCAAACAAAATTGAGAGCTTTCTTTGCCAACCAATGCATACATTTATCTATTGTGTGGCAAGCAGGGAAATCGAGAAACATGGTAAACCGAAAGATTTCCTCGACCGAATCGGGAATCGCCGGCAATACCGTCCCTTTACTTACAAGGCTATCTGAGGCCCACGTTCAATATTTGGCCTACGGGTTTCAATTCCGTACAGACACGTCATTGGACTTACATCGTCATACGGATCGAGGGTAAAATACTTTTTGCTCCTAAAGGTTTTGTAATGTAACCTTTAAACTAAAGAATCGTACCAAAAGTATAATTGAATCGTACACCTGATTTTTTTTTCTGCTCGATAGGACAAAAAAATAGGCGATTAGGCCAAAGTAATGGTTTACCCTATATATTGTGTGGCAAGTACAATCATACTCTGTGCCCAGAGAAATCGAGAAAGCTTCCCAGACCGGGTCGGGAATCGAACCAACCTGCATGGTTTTGCGTTATAGCTGCGCCTTTACCAACTGAGCTAAGGGAGGTCTTTCTTACACCCACCCAGAAAATATAAGATTCTATTGCTAATAAATTTGTAATTTTTATGTTAGCCAAGTTTTTGTACAAAGTTTATTTCCCCACATGCATTGGATCCAGGTTTTTTTTTACAAAAATATGCCTTCTTGAAAAACTTTCTTGCTAGGTTAGCGTTCGTTTGCTTCAGACAGGAAGAATATATCGATTTTTTGATACAGTTGTTTTTTAAGGCTTCAATTGCGGGAGATTTACTGAACCAGGACTTCTGTATAAGTATTATATTTTTTTTTGTTAACCTACACACTCAAAAAAACTCACTAAATTTTCTTTGCTGTATGACCGACATTCCCTCTGCGATATTATAGCTTTTTGGTTTGCTTAGCGGCCTAAGTAAACAAAAATGACAAATTATTGCAAACATCCAGCTTTATAGTCTATCTCCTCTTGTGAACCTTTACTGACGAGTTTCTATTTTCAACATTTCTTTTTCTTTCAGAAACCGGACGTCATTGTTTAAACCTTTAGGTTTACTTACAGCAATTTTAAGCCAAATTTACCATGCATCCGGTCACGAGAACAATGCGAAACATGAACCATTCCAACCCTCACAGCTGGACAGTGCTCATTCGTCCATCCTCGAGATCATTAGCAACGTAAACGAACTGTTCACTTATTCTCTATCCGGAGAAATTTCCGCTCTCCACTGCTGGGTAAATGATCCATTTTCAACCCAAATACAAGCCAATTAAGTACGCGTAACATGAGCCAAATGAAAGAGCTAAACTTAATCAGTTCCGAAAATTGTCGTTCGGAAGAAAAATCTTGTCGCAGCCAACGGTGGAGCAAACGAAGGCGACGACGGCGGAAGTGCTTTCCGCTGTCAATCTATTGTACCGTGCCATATCGTTTTTTCTATCTGTTTCTGCTGCTCCGGATGACGGTGGAGGCTGCCAAAAATCCTTCGAGCAGGACAGTAGAAAGTGTACCGCAGTTATTTGCAATGGAACCCCAGGATCAGACGGCCGTCGTTGGATCACGAGTAACGTTGCCATGCCGAGTAATTAATAAGTCTGGACAGTTGCAGGTAGGTGATGGGGATTTAGCAAGCTTCACTTACCTTTCTAATTCTATGGCACGATGTTCAATATAGACACGTTTAGCTTTTTACGGTCTTTTCTCTTTGCGCTATTCCGATGCTACTATAAAATATGTCTATTCTCATAGTTCGTTTCTCGACCTCTTAGTTGGTAGTTTTTTTTTAACCTAAAATAACCGATAACTGTCCTGGCCACATACTTGCAACAGTTGGGGATGGGATGGATGGTTAGTTGAACATTTACATAAGAAACTGCATTTATCTGGATACATAAGAATCTTACTTCTTACTGTCTACTTAAATCTATCTGTATACATACCAGGGTTCTACATTTTCGAAACAAAGAAAAGAAAATGAACACTCCTCAGAATCGTTTCATTTCGAACAGTATCATTTTCGTGTAAGTCATTGTGTTTCTTGTTATCGAGTCACGATGAACATTCCTCCTGTCAAACATGACTTGAATATCGCTTGTTTCGTTCGTCAAGTGCATCAGTCCATTTCATTTGAAGCAAAAACATGTTTCAATTGATGCAATGAATGACTCGAAAACTGCTTCCTTCGTTTTTTTTTCCACTTTCACTTCAATTCGGGGCTCATTCGACTTGTCACGCGTCGCGTCGTCAGGCATCAACATATAGTAACCGGATAGTATCCGCACAATATCGGTTGCCGATAGGCATGGCATCTGGATTATATGTAGTAACAAAATGTTATTTTATATTAAACTAACGAGGCCATTCTGGACTCCCAGATGGTGCGCATCGGGCTCAGCAAAGTCTCAAATATTCTACAATATTGGTATTTGAGGAACGGTGACGACGCGGAGGTGCCGAAAATCGATGTTCGACGCCATTTTGGAATCCAAGATGGCTGCCATCAGGATCAAGAAAAAAAGTGTAAAATACCCAAAAATATGGACATTTTCTGAACGGGTACGACACGAAGATGTCGAAAATCTATATCCAACGCCATTTTGAAATCCAATATGGCGGCCTTCGGGTTTCACAAAAGGTTTTAAATACCCTAAGACATGAGTATTTTCGGAATGGGGACGACGCGTGGATACTGAAAATCAATATTAGACACCATTTGTATGGTATTTGAAACTTCTTCTTGAATCAGAAGCCACCATCTTGAATTCAATGATGGAAATGATGATGGTGATGGTCCCACCTCTTACCCCTACAAAGGTTTGAGCTGGACGATTTATCTTTAAGATAATTAATTGTAAATATTTTAACCAGGTTAGCAAAAAAACGAGCTGGTTACATTTACAGATATAAATTTCCTCTAGAGTTTACATTTTCTTCACAGTGAAAAAACTTAGGCGTCCACGTCTTAGTTCACCTTTTTGTCCACCAAAAATATGTATAGGTATTACAAGCGATCAAGACTTAATGAACAATCAACAAAGCATCCTATTACACTAGCAACCCCGCAATCTGATGCTATCATAATTTTCAGTAATGTCAGGAATGCTCACGAACCCCAACATTTGCCAACATTTTTTTTAATCAAATGTCAAATTCAGTCCACTATATCCGTAATACGCGCGCGAGGCTCAAACCTTTGTAGACTACTATTTTTTTTTTACTACTACTTTTAAATAAAATATCAAAAATCCAATATCACCATCGTGGTGAACAAAATAGTTTTTGCAGTGCTACAATAATTATTAAAAATCCGTTATAACAGCTATCCCTACAAATAATGGTGTCGGACATTGAATTCCAGCCTCTGGATGTCGCTCTGATTCCAAAAATACTCACATTGCTCGGTATTTGACAGTATTTCACAAAAGCCGCCATCTTAGATTTTGAAATGGCGTCAAACATCGGTTTCTGGCCTCTAGACGTTACTGTGATTCCAAGAATACCCACATTGATGGATCTTTGAAACTATTTTCAACTTTTTCTGAATCCAGAAGTCGCCATCTTGGATTTAAATATGGCGTTTGACATCAATTTTCGGCATGTACGTGTCATCCCCGTTCTGAAAATTGACACTTTTCGTCGAATCGGAAGCCACCGTATTGGATTGCACAATGACATTGGATATCGATTTCTGGCTTCTAGACATTACCCTGATTCTTAAAAAATAGCAGATGTATGGGTATTTGATAGAATTTCACACTTTTTCAAAATCTCAAGAATTTTAAAAAAACGTCGGATATTTTTTGTTTTCAGCCTCTAGATGTCATCCCGATTTTGGTGTTTGTTTGTATTTCAAATATTTCTTGAACTTGAAATTCTTGGATTTCAAAATGGCGTCGCATATTCATTTCCAATCTCTATACGTCATCTTGATTCCAAAAATACCCATATTGATGGGTCGGCATCACTATTTCCCAATTTTCTTACACGGAACGTCGCCATCTTGGATTTCAAAATGTCGTCGGATATCAATTTCCGGTCTCCAAACATCACCCCGATTAAAAAATACCCATATTAATGGGTATTTGACAGCATTTCCCACTTTTTTCTGAAATCGAAAGCCACCATATTGGATTTCAAAATAGCGTTGGATATCGATTTCCAGTCTAGGCGTCATCCAGTTTCGAAAAATACCTATATTAATGGGTATTTGACAGTATTTCCCTTTGACTATGTGTTTAGTATTACTTCTGTGTGAAGTCAACGATTTACATAGTTGAAGATGCTATTTCGAATAACGGACTGAAGTGGTAATTTTTATACGATAGATGAGGAGGAGATGAATGTATAGAATTGATAGTTCCGCTTAGATTACGGCAGTGTGAAAATTGCCAGTGGGGGGGGGGGGGTGGGACACCCTTCACCATCCCTCTCCAAAGGGGGAGTTTGGTAAAGAGAGATGATAAAACCGATTTGTACCTTCCTTAAAAGTTGTCCTAGCTCGCTGTCTACTTTCTATTTGCAATTTTCACACTGCCGTAATCTAAACGGAACTATCAATTCTATACTTTCATCTCCTCCTCATCTATCGTATAAAAATTACCAATTCAGTCTGTTATTCGAAATAGCATCTTCAACTAAGTATTTCCCTCTTTTTTTAAACTGCAAGCCGCCATGTTGTATTTTAAAATGGCGTCGCATATCGATTTTCATTATATAGGCAACATCCCCATTCCAAAATACCAATATTGATCGGGTCGCTGTCAGTATTTCCCACTTTGTCTGAAATTTGATGCCACCATCTTGGATTTGAAAATGGCGTCGGTCACCGATTTCCGGCCTCTAGGCATAACTCCGATTCCAAAAATACCCATACTGATGGGTAAACAAACCACCCTATGATGATGAATTTGACATACACGTGCACAGATCAATGCGCATGTGCTTAAATGACTCGAGTGAACAATCAACAAATGTCAGAAAAACTGCGCGAATTTGGATCGAACAGCTTCGCTTCAATGTGAAAACAAGTTCGTTTGACAATTAAGTTTGACGAAGTGAACACGAAACAAGCCTAAACAAACAGCATGAAAACTGATCGAAAGTGGTTCTGTTGATGTTTAAAGAGGATCTGCTCGAAGAGAAGACAGAATGACTTTCAATTGAAAGTGATGGTTGACACCTTCGTCGTCACTTGACGTGATTGATTTGTATATAGATTTTGTATACCTAAGCTTATATTAAAGTAACTACATTTTCCAAAATTGACACTCAATATTCTTCACTGATTTTCTCAGAATTGAGTTGGCCAAATTTTAAAATGAAAGTGGATGTAGAACCCTTTTTCTATACCCATCGAGTTTGAAAGTGTGGTTGAACAATATGAAATATGCTTTAAATTAATCAAATAGTTATTTATGTCATCGATTCAAAGTTTGGGGTCACCCCACAGTATGGTTTATCGCTATTGTAAGTTTAATTGAAGTTTTAGTATAAAAAATGGGAAAATATGTTGAGCCATATACCAACGAAATAAGTAACAATCAATGCCATTCAGCTGCTGCGAAGAGAACTAAAATTGAAAAAAAATGGCAGGTATATGAACAAAAAGACATGCTATGATGTAATCACTCAAAACTTTGGGGTAAACCTCGAGCAAAACCTGAGAATGTTGTTTGGTTTATACATCTGCCATAGTTTGCCCAATTTTAGTTATTTTTGTAGTATTTGAAAAACAATGAATTGATCATACTTCGCTGCTATGAAGATAATCATATTTTTCCATTTATTTATACTAAAATTCCAAGTTAATTTACAACAGCGACAAACCATACTGTGGGATGACCTCAAACTTTTGATCGAAGACTTGAGTAACTATTTGATTAATTTAAAGCATATTTCATATTGTTCAACCACACTTTCAAATTCGATGGGTATAGAAGAAGGGTTCTACATCCACTTTCATTTTAAAATTTGGCCAACCCAATTCTGAGAAAACCAGTCATGAATGTGAAGTTTGGAAATTGTTGGAATTGTGGGAAAAATGTAAAATGTATTAAATCAGTTACCTTCGAGCTAAAGTCAGTCAATACCTTTCAAATAACGTACTTAGATATAATTAAGTAAAGAGATATAAGTTAAAACATGTTTATGTTTTTAAAGGGAGGCAATCATTATCAAATATTTTTTTAACAAAATCGTAAGAGAATACCGTCAGCAGGTATATCTGACTTTGGTAAATTTTACCGAGCTTTTGACATTTTAACGCTCGGTAAAACATTGATCTTCATTTTGGAAAATTTGGATCGAAGCTATGTTCCATAAATGTTCGATATTGCTCCCAATCAGCTCTATCGTAATTGAAAGTAGAGCTGTTGGGATTAGAAATTATTTCTTGGGATATTCAAAAAGTTACTGGAAGGTGATCAGAACCGAAGTCAGCATGGGTAACCAATTGACTACAAAGTTGGCATGAATCAGTTAAGACCAAATCGATAGTTGACGGATTGTTTGCTGAAGAAAAGCATGGTGGGCTATTTGGATATTCAAGAGTGTAATAACCTGCAAAACATGAGCCGTGTTTTGCATTAAAATCACCAATAATGAAGAATT